GTGATTGTGATGTAAATTTCCCAATGTATCATTTTTAGTATTTTCTAATAAAATCTTTTTAGATATATCTATATTTTTTTTTAACATAACGTCAATTAATACCTTCAATTTTTTCTAACTGGGTTAGGCCGCCGTTTTATGTGACCAAACCATCTAAGACGACTCTCTATAACCTTATCTTTCTACTTTCAATTTTTTCACATATATGCTCATTTCGTACTCATCCATTTGGAAAAAAAAAACTAAATGTTTATTATTGAGCTATGTTTCATCATTAGTCCGTTATAGTTTTGGTTCTTTTGGTTGTATTGAAAATGGCACGCCGAGGCAAGCAAAGGTTGGGTCCCAACAGCTATAGGCCTCATGTGACATTAAATGATTTCTTTTTTGTAAGCTTTCGCGACTGATTTTGTTGGATGTTTATCCATTAAATTTAAATATTAACGGCGTTAAATTCTGACATGAAATTTAATCATAATAAATTACAGATCTTGACGTATCAGCTTTAATATTTTAAACATTTTTATGCTTTTTGATTTTTTTTTTGGTGTAATGTTTCTTATTGTAATGGTAATGTCGGGCTGCGTAATTTATAAAATTATTTTCAAAAATTTATGAACCATTAATAATAGAGAATGTAACAGTGTATTTTTTGGCTGAAAAGCCTGTTAAATTTATCGTCTGGATGTAAATGAGTCAAGCCGGCTCATGAGTTTTACTCGAGCTCGCTGTAACCCTGAAAACTTTCGATACGGTTGTGCACGCATTTTGATGCACCGAATGAAATAGACAAAATTTAAAGTTGTCGGAATTTGACGTAATAATTTTATAAAAATTCTACGCAAATTTTGTAAACGGTATAAAGAACATATATTAATTTCGCACGATTTTGAAACTAAAAAATCGTCGAAATTCTTTAAGTAAATTTTAGCCTTTTGTTCATTTTACCCTTATGAGCTCTTAAGAAATATTTGGAGGAGGCGATGTGTTATTTGGCATTTACATTCTTCCTTAACTTCATTTAATGCTAGGGACAAAACATTCGGTCCTTGGCTTATTTTTGTTCGGCGGATGAAGAAGAAGGTGAAAGAGAGGGAGAGAGTGCTCGGGTATTGGAAATCCGGCGACGCGTGGTTTGGACTTTATTGGGGAAAACTAATATGAAGTCTAAAGGAAGAAGAAGGTAAACTTAAACCTAGAAACTTTTTTTTTTTTCCAAGATTTCATGATTAGAAAATTTAGGATTTTTGAAAATTTTTAAATTTATTAAGGAAATGTGAAGGAAGATGAGTGAATGTTCTTTTGCAAGAAATTTAAGTTTTTTCCTAAATTTCTTTAGGTTTAAAAAATTTAGGTTTGCTTTAAATGATGGGCTTTCATAGAAAAGTGATAGGTTGTATGTGTGCATACTTCTAATAATAAAAATGAATTCTTATTAAGAAAAATTTTTAGGTTCCAAAATTAGGGTTTATAAAATTTTATTTTGGTTTAGGAATATTGTTAGGAGGGTTTAGAAGACGATAGCAAGAGATTGATTTTTTTTCTAAGAATTTTGGAGTTTCAACATTCGGCTTTTCCAAATTTGCAATTTTAAGCATGATGTTAACCAATTTTGTTCCTAAGAGACTTGTGAAGTCTATAATTAAAAAAAAAATGAAATTTGGAAATAAAATATTTTTTTTCTAATTTGTATATTATTTAATTCGAAAATAATTATTTTTAAGCATGATGTATGCAAGCCAGAAGAACTGTAGCGCGGGCGGCGGGGCAGAGGTCGGAAGGACTACAGTAGTGAGTTGATGTAAGCCAAAAGGACTGTAGTCGGTGGACGATAGAAGTCAAAGGACTATAGTCATGGGCAACTAAGTCGGATAGTCCGTTGTCTAACGACGAGGTCAAAAGGAAGGCGCCAGATAGAATTTTAGTGACGAGCGGAGGTCCGGTGTCGGGTAGATGTTCGACGTTAGTCGGAGGCCGGGAGAACTTTGGCGTTAGATGGTATTCGGGCAAAACTCCTGCATCACTTGGAAGTTGGATAGAATTTTGGTGTCACTTGAAAGTCGGACAGAACTCTGGCGTTCACTTGGAAGTCGGGCAGAATTCCGGCGCACTTAGAAGTCGGAGGAAACTCCGGCATCACTTGATCGTCTGGCGGATCCGCGCCACTTGAATGTTCGAGCGGAACTCTGGCGGTGGTCAAGGAGGATTTTTTTCCCTCATTTTCTTTTTTCTCTTTTTCTTCTTGCTTGGGTCCCTCTCAAGAGAAATGAGGGGCTATTTATAGTGTTTTGGAGGATGTCATGACCCGTAAATAATAGGAGGATCAGGGCAAATATGAAGTGGATTTGGATGGACGGCTTGATATTAATCCCTTGATCGTGGACCGTTTGGTTAGACATATTTGAAGGTCTTAATGATATTGGAATTTGACGATCTTTAGGCCCGTTGGATTCGTCTAGTCGAGCCGCTCGATTCGAATATAAGCATGTCATATTTAGAAATGTTTGAGTAATACAAATTGTGGTTTGAATCTTCCAACAGCTCTTTTGGTCTTTGATTCAAACACATTTGGGCTCAGATTGAGTTGAATTTGGTGTTGTTGGGTTTGTATTTCTGAGACACTCAGTTCAACTATAAGTTTGCTATAATTGGAATTTCAGATGATCCAGATTTAATTTTTTTGAAGCTTTCGGTCTAATTTTGCCTCAAGATTCGTGCCCGATCAAATATAGTTTTTTTTATGATATATCAGTACATACATAAAGTTGTTTTAGAAAGCTGCAACAAAGTTTTCCCAAAAAAATATATTCCTTCTCTTCCCTTCTTCTCTTCTTACGATCCCTCTCAAAGAGAGATGAAGGGATCTATTTATAGATTTTTGGAGTGGCATGACCTGTAAATAGGTGAGAGATCAAAGGATAAATAGGGAGTGGTTGGATAGTACGGCCGATGTTGAATCCCTTGATTATGGACCGTTCGTCAAACATTTGAAGGTCTTAATGATGTTGGAATTCGGTGATTTTGGGCTATTGGATTCGTCTCGTCGAGCCTCGATTCGATATAAGCATGTTATGTTTGAAATCCGTTTGGTAACCAAAATTATGGTTCGAACCTTCCAACAATACTTCAGTCCTTGATTTGGACCGTTTTGGGCTCGGATTGGGTTGAATTTAGTGTCGTTGGGGTTTGTATTTCCGAGACGTTCAGTTTCAACTATAAGTTTGTTGAAATCGGGTTTCGGATGGTCCGCGAATTTTTTAACAAAAGGAAATAAAGAAAAAAAATTAAAAAAAATGTCTTTAAGAATAATATAACAGTGACCGCCTATATATAGGCTGATTACAAAGCATTGTTATTAATCTATCCAATCCTAATTAGCCACGTATTTAGACTATTTTACATTATTTTATTTATCTACTAATATCTCCCCGCAAACTGAAGGGTTCTTGATGACCGTCAGTTTGAGTCTTAAAGTCTGAAATCTCATAGTAGGAAGAGGCTTAGTAAATATATCAGCAATTTGGTCTGTAGTGTTGATTGGATAGATGCGAATGTGCTTGTTCTGAATGTGATCTCGTACAAACCGTTGATCTATTTCAATGTGTTTTGTATGAGCGTGAAACACCGGATTGTTTGCTAAGGCGATTGCTGACATATTGTCACAATAGATATCTGTTGGTTGTGTTTGGTGAACTCCAAACTCAGATAGTAACTTGCGGATCCAAATAACGTCAGCTGTGAGAGCAGCAAGTGCACGATATTCGGATTCAGTTGAGGATCGAGCAACGGTGTGCTGCTTTTTAACCGTCCAAGATATGAGAGTATCGCCAAGAAAGGAACAGTATCCGGATGTAGATTTTCTCGAGTGTGGATCCCCAGCCCAATCAGCGTCTGAAAAGGAGGTAAGTTGAAAATTAGAATTTGTAATAGGCAAGCCAAAATCTAACGTACCTTTTATGTATCGAAGAAGACGTTTGAGAAGAAAGGCGTGCTGAGGGGCAGGATCATGCATATGTTGTGATAGGAGATTGACGCTGTATGCAATATCCGGTCGAGTGATTGTGAGGTATTGAAGAGATCCTGTAAGTTTCCGATAGAATGTAGGATCGGTAAATGTATTGTCCGGCGGAAGGTCTGTGGGAATTTTGGTACATGTTGGATTTTGAACCGGATTGCATCTGGTGAGATTGGCTGTGTCAAGAATTGAATTGGCATATTGCGTTTGAGAAAGAAAATAACCATTGTTTGTATTTTGAATCTGGATGCCAAGAAAAGTGTTAGCCGAACCAAGTAGTTTCATTGAAAATTTTAGATTTA